CCTGCATAGGATTATGTGATATACATTTTTATTCATGTCATAGTAATTTATCTCAAATGTACAGACATGCATACAGGTTAATTTATAAACATTTTATGCAAAATTGCAATTTTCCCCTTCAAATTATTTTTCACCTGTCGGAGAACTGCAGTTCTCTGAAATATCAAAGTGACGCACTAACAGGCCATTAGAGTTACAATATGAAGTGGACTTTGAATACACATAAGAATGGTTCTGTCACATTATCACAGTCTATTTAATCTAGTAATTCAGATGCTAGCAGGAATCGAGATTATGGGAGTCAGAGTCGCAAGTCTCTGCATACTGATTAAATACTGCTTTATGGATTAAAGTCATATATGAAGTTTGGAGTATAAATTGAAAAATATTACCATGGTTAAAATGACTCAGAAAACTAAGTTATATTATTAGAAGTATCAACCATCAATCTAAAAAGTCTTTGAGTTTCTATCACTATTCTAATCTAAAGTCTGAAGCTGGAATAATTTATCTTCATGCTATATAACAGTCCAGTGAACAAAAATGTGAAATTACACGCACAGTTCTCTGCACAACTTATTTTAAGAAAACGATATTAAACCCGTCACTTTGATGGACAAGGAAAGCTAAGGCGAGGTCTTCATTCTATTTTGACGAAGAATAATTGTAGAATGTGGAAAAGTTTTATCTGAATATAATCATCCAACCTTACAAAAATGTTATAATATACAATAAAAGGATCAGAATATTGTGCCTTCAGAGAAACCATCACAGGTTGCAATCTTAAGGTGGTTTACTTAGATTTAAATCAAATGAATTCAAGGGGGCTTAATGAGTAAAATCACATAGCTAGAAAATCAACCTCAGAAGGCAATTTCCAAGTTACATAAAATACTGAAAAGACAAATCACATAATCAAACTGTATCTGGTAGCACCTTCAGCCCTGTCTTATTACAATAAAAGTTTTACTGAGCTAGATAACCTACAACAGAATTTCTACCATCGATGTAGATATCATATTGTAGAGATCAAGCAAAGTACAACCTTTCAAAATATAATCTTTTATGTATAATCAAATTAACATAGCCCAGCTATTGTTAATTTATTCCTGCTTGCTTTCTGTATGTGCTCCCTTGTATTCTAAATTGTGCTGACCAAGGAAAATGTTTCTGTTACTTTAAACTGTGTTGTTCCAAGAGACAGAGAAACTTACAGCAGCACATTTCCACTCCCTTTTCTCCCTTTTCTCTTGGATTGTAAAAGTATATTTTGCCTTTCGCTCTTCTGCTGAGGCTCAGCTCAAAGAAGTAACAAGTTTCTGGGCTAATTGCCAGCTATTGAACTATTGTGTATTCAGGCTTAGAGATGTAAAAATGTAACTGAGCTAGAATAGATAAGGAAATTCAAAGGAACTTTTTAGATGTGCAGGAACTTTGTAATGTGTATTAGTTATAAAAAGCAGAACTTTTCTGATTAGGTTGTTTTCTCAATCTCCTCTATCTCAGAGCAGTACGTGCGTGTGACAAGAGACTGAGACACCCAGCTTATTCCTTTGATCAAAAGAATAAACCTGTGTTCAAATCAGCTGCCTCGTGCCTCATTGGGATTTATTAGGATTCTGAGCTGAAAAACCTTACAATATTATTTAATATAATGTAATGTAATTTCAATTTATAATTTAATATAATTTACAATGGAATATGTATCTTTCACCATTTTTCCTTGCCCTTACTGCATAAGGGCTTTTTCTTTTCATAAGGAAATGTATTATAGATATCATAAATCTACATATAATTTTCCTGCCGATAATATTCTTAAATAAAACTAAATCTAACACCATCTCTTTACAGCAAACTCATTACAGTAAAATTACCTAGATTGTAGCTTTATGTTCCTAAGTTGTTTTAATAAGATACTACAGAAACAAAATCTTTGGATCAGTTGATTATGCAAGTATATTTTCCTATACTTTATGCAACCTCAAATTTTCCTGTGTACCATGTTTCCCCGAAAATAAGACCTGGTCTTTTTTTTTTTGCCTCCAAAAGAGGCACCAGGACTTATTTTCAAGGGGTGTCTTTTCCACTCACCTCACGGCAGCGGCACCGACAGCTCCGCCCAGCCAGCCCACTTCTTCTGCGGCCAAAGGAGCAGCTTCATTCTGCAACTAAGAATGGAGCTCCGGCCTGCATTTTGTGGTCAGAGACCTTTCCAGAAGCCTTTGCAGCCAAGAACTGAGCCACAGATTGAATCCATAGTTCGGTTTTCGGCTGCAGAGGTCTTCTGGAAAGGCTTCTGACTGCAAAATGCAGGCCGGAGCTCCATTCTCAGCTGCAAAATGAAGCTGCTGCTTCAGCTGCAGAAGAAGTGGGCCGGCGATGCAAGTGTCGATCCATGGGAGGCCTGGCTACAATGGTAAGCTCCACCACCCCACCCCTGCCCTAGCTTAATTTTTAGGTGTGAGACTCGCCCCAAAACTAGGGCTTATTTTTGGGGTAGGACTTATATTAGGCCCACCCCCAAAAACAAGCTAGGGCTTATTTTCAGGGTAGGTTTTATTTTTGAGGAAACGTGGTATATTCCAAGATACTCAGGAAAGAAAATATATATACCATTTGTATGACATCAGAAACACATTTTTAGACTTGACAGACAACTAATAATGCAACTTTATTTTATAGTTTGCCAAATTCTTTAGCAAGAAAATTTTCATTTCAGAAATGATAGTCTTGCTTAGGTGGTGGGGTAGGAATAAATATCCCCTACCTCCTCAATTTTTTTTCTCCAGATTTGCTATAAGCGTACTAGAAAACTATTAGTCCCAAACTTGAGCATTAAAAACATTTGATATAAAATGTCAATTCAGAATTTAGGTAATATCCAAATATGATGTAATAATTATTTCTCTAACTTTATATTGATTTAAAAGACTATATACATAATAAATCAAACACATTAGTCCTAAACATTTTTCCAGATGTCTCATGTTATAATATTTCTTTAACAAATGTTAGAAATGGGTCCCAATTTATGGATAGAGTGAAGTTCTTCTTCCTTTCACAACATAATGCTATCAGAATTCTGAACTGAGATGACTGCTTGTAGTGGAATGGTCCAATTGGCAATTAGATCACTTATCTACCCCAATCACTTTCCACAGGATAGGAAATCTCTAAATGCAATAACATTTCATGGTGGTAGAAACAAGTTATGGAGGAAGTCTAAATTTGTAATAATTTGAGCCAAATGTAGAGAGTAATTAATAGTATAGATTTAGAACCTGGTTGGAGCTATCAAGATACTTTATAAATATATTATATCTAATCCCAGAAAATAAACAATAATAAATAATTTAACTGCACATGGATGGAATTAATACGAATTGTCATAACTGAACTTAGATTAAATCAAGGTAAACTGTATGAACAATTAAGACAAAGGTTAATACAAATTATGGGAGCTATTACATATCTTGTTAAGGAAAAAAATCTCAGAAACATACAAGAGAAGAATTTATTTCATTCAAACTATAGTAACTAGCTTATTGGAACAGATTTTAGCCAGAATAAATGTAATCAAATCATAAAGGCATCCAACTTTATTTAGTGATTAAAAGTAGATTGTCTAACAAAGAAAAATTATGTGATGGAATTTTAAAAGTGTCTTTAAAGATAATGAAGAAATGTTCGAAATAATTATACGGATGCTAAATAGCAATATCTAACAAAACAATTCTTCACATTACCATTACATTATTTACTGCATACTAGAGTGCATATAATAATATTGCAGTAAGTGAAGAGTTAATAAGTAAAAAGAAGTAAAAATATTGTCCCCTATTAGGACAATCAATTAAAGTTACATTCTCTAGCTTTCGCTTATTTTAACACTTAACATTTATGCAGAACTAACTTTGTTTTAATATATTTAACAGAAGTTTTGTTTCTCAGTAGAAAGCAAAATTGTTTTCGACTCTGTTATACTGCACTAGGATTAGGATCAGGATACAGGAGGATCTGGACAGACTTGAACACTGGGCGCTATCTAACAAAATGAAATTCAATGGTGAAAAAAAGTAAGGTTCTACATTTAGGCAAGAAAACCCAAATGTACAGGTATAGTATAGGGGGTACCTTGCTCAATAGTAGTAACTGTGAGAGGGACCTCGGAGTCCTAGTGGACAATCACTTAAATATGAGCCAGTAGTGTGCTGCAGCTGCCAAAAAGGCCAACACAATGCTGGCAGCATTAACAGAGGGATAGAATCAAGATCACATGAAGTATTAATACCACTTTACAATGCCTTGGTAAGGCCACACTTGGAATACTGCATTCAGTTTTGGTCACCACGATGTAAAAAAGATGTTGAGACTCTAGAAAGAGTACAGAGAAGAGCAACAAAGAAGATTAGGAGACTGGAGGCTAAAGCATATAAGGAAAGGTTGATGGAATTGGGTATGTCTAGTTTAATGAAGAGAAAGATGAGGGGGGACATGATAGCAGTGTTCCAATATCTCAGGGGCTGCCACAAAGAAGAGGGAGTCAAGCTATTTTCCAAGGCGCCTGAAGGCAGGACAAGAAGCAACGGATGAAAAACTAATCAAGGAGAGAAGCAACCTAGAACTAAGAAGAAACTTCCTGACAGTTAGAACAATTAACCAGTGAAACAACCTGCCTCTAGAAGTGGTGACTGCTCCAACACTGGAAGTTTTTAAGAAGAGACTGGACAGCCATTTGTCTGAAATGATATAGGGTTTCCTGCCTGAGTAGGGGGTTGGACTAGATGACCTCCAAGGTCCCTTCTAACTTTATTATTATTGTTGTTGTTGTTGTTGTTGTTGCTGCTGCTGCTGCTGCTGCTACTACTTCTACTACTACTACTACTATTTGGTTGTAGGAGACAACCTTATTGCTATTACTACTATTATTGTCAGCTATCCAAAATCATTCTGGTCTTGGACCACACAAAATCAAATCAATTAAAGGTAACTGCATGTACCTGATCTTGAGATTTCTTTTTCTTCTTTTTCTTGCCCCAGCATCCAGAACTTTCAGCATCTTTCCCATTGGCATCACCACAAAGTAAACCATCAAGTTCATCAGTCCCCATTTGCTGTCCCTGAGATGTTTCTGCAGCAAGTCTATATGAGAGGTTCCTTAAAATGCACACACAGTTTTCAACGGTCTAAAAGAACAAGAAAAAATAAATTATAATACATTTAGAATGCTCATATTCATCAGAAAAGTTATTAGTTTTCTTTATATCCTTGTGCTGGCTGAAATACCCAATCATGGCACAGGATAGTTTTCCTATCAAAGAAAGAGGACACTTTTATTCCATCAAAGGTTTCTTCTTTCTATGTATGTGCATGCTTTCAAATATGCAGCTTGCTGTATGAAAATTATACTCACTTCAATGAAGAATTTAAATAAAGCAAGTTATATTTCTCTGAGAGAATAAAGTCTTTGTCTAGATGTAACAGGAATGTGAATGTTGAAAGAGAACAAAACCAAAGGTAAAATGTGTTAAATAGGTTTCACATATGGAGTTCAAAAAAAATGGGAAAAAAGGAATACCCCCATGTGTATTGTAACGGATTATCCATCATGAATGCTGATTATTATCCCTCTGGTGAAAATAATAGATCTGTAATTTAAATTGTCTTCAGGATTGATAGAAATATCACACAGGAATCTCAGGGAATCCATGCTGAAATGTAGTAAACTTGATAGCAAATCTAACATCTTAAAAACATTTTACTTTTCATTTAAAACAATTTGTGATTTAACTTAAAATGATTAGGTGTTAGAACAATCTTATGAAGGATTATAGTCATTTACTCCTTTGCTTGCAATTCTACTCCCCTTTGAGTTTTAAGAATTGAAAAAAAAACCACAAATAAACTACAAGTCTTATCTTGCGTAAGATAAAATACCATAGAAGCATTTGATTCTCTCCTTTGCAACTCATTAAAACTGTCTTTAGGAAACCACAGATGATTTCCTGAGGTCTCTATTAGGATTTCCTCAAATAATCCACACCTACACTTAAATTTGGCAGAATTAGCATTTAAGGGTCTGATTCCTACCTCCTATAATCTCCTCATGGTGCTGCTTGCAGGTTTCTATTTTTTAATACTCTTACTATCCTTGAAGTAAGGATCAGCTAATCAGGTAAGAACCTATGACTCCTATATAAGAAATTCTGCAGAAATAATAATAAATCTCACCTCCCTAGTAAGAATAGACAGAAAGTTTAGAGCATAAAGTCTGTGAAGATTCTCAGTTATCCAACTGGACTTATTTTTCTTATTAGTTTGAGATGTTTTGCTGTTCATCCAAGAGCTCCATCAGTTAGAGCAAGTTAGGCAGAAAGTTGTTGGAATGTACCAGTTCCTCTTGTACCAACTTCAGGGGTTTCCTTCCCAAAGTGTGTTTGCAGTATGTCAATGAGGACTGTCACTCAGCCAGGTAAAATTGTCTGAAGATTGAGTTATGGCAACTGGACTTATTTTTCTTCTTAGTTTGAGATGTTTTGCTGTTCATCCAAGAAGCTTCATCAGTCAGTTCATGTTAGTTAGGCAGAAAGTCATTGGAATGTACCAACTTCTCATGCACCAACCTCAGGGTTCCCTTCCCAAGTGCATTGTAGTATGTCAATGAACTTGCGCTTGCACTTGGGGAAGAAACCCCTAAGGTTGGTGTGGGAGGAATTGGTACATTCCAACGGCTCTCTGCCTAACTAACTTGCTTTGATTGGTGAAGCTGTCAAATATTTAAATAAATAGTGATAACATTTTCTCTTTGCCCTAACATTACATCAGACAAAATATTTCAAACTGAAATCAGTCTTCAATCAAATGTCATGGTTCCAACAGACGAAATGAGCATGGCTGCAGCCATTTTCCTTCTCATTCTAGGTTGCCATCAAGACTGAAAAGTTATCCCTACCCAGTCATATCTGCTATATTCACAGTTTTAGTATCTATATATTATTTCTTCTTTTAATTCACACATAACAGCTACATGCCTGCACAGAGTCCATTTGGAATCCTCTTCAAATGATACAATTATTTGATGGGAGAAAGACTGTGCACAAATAGGCACAATTTCCATCAAATCCCTTCAGTTCCTGATATCACAGAGCAGATGTTAAAAAGAATACTGAGGTCACATAGTACCAAGTATGAATAGTAAAGGGGAATTGTGTGATCATCCAAGGAACTTCAGTTAAACAGTTTCTTTGATGTGGTATCTGGAAGAGTGTTTAGTATATAAGTGAACTTAATTAAAAATTGCTCTATCAAATGGGTATCTCCCTCTGAGCAGAGAGCTGGGTATTGGTATTGGAAGCCAACAAGACTCATCAGATGCTCTGTATAATTCTGATAGGGAGGTTCTATGTAGATCCAGAGAGGACACACTTACTTTTTAACCAAGTTTGATAACTATGGTTATTTTCTAAGAAAAAGCTTATAAGACAAACAGATACTGGCTCCTTTGTACAGTAAGTTGAAATGTAGTTAGTAGTGTCAAGTAGAAAGTAAGTATTCGAACTTGAGTGACCTCTTGATTGATGTTAAGAGGTTAGGAAACATGCAATTGTTGCATCACTAGAGGCCCCATCCTTGTTTTGACTCAATTGAAACCAAGTGTTTTAGCAGATTTTAGCTGTTTGTCAAATCATTTTCTGATGTCAAGAAATTGCATAGTTCTGGGAATTGCTATAAATAAGGGAACATCTCAAATGTGTTCAAGAAGGGGTGACAGAAGCCAGGGGCCAATGTTAGGAACTCTGGCTGAAGATGAAGAAACATTTACAGCCTCAAAGTTTGTTGTTGTAAGAACTTGTTTATAAAGTCTGGTTTGCAGATGAGAGGAGCAATTTCGAATTTATTTTGTAAACAACCAGCACTACTTACAACAATCTACTGCATGAATTCCCCTAAGGCACAAGGAGTGGAATTTGCTTCTGCAATTCTAGTTGGTACATACAGAAGAGAGAAACTGAGGTCATTTGGCCATCTATTCAATGATAGTTCCACAACCATTTATGTGTACAATAAAAATAAATAAGTGGAATTATAATTTAGCTCTGCCAATTAAGAATGAAAGTAATGGAAATACTAGTTTTGTTTAGCATTCCTTTGCATTATATACAAATGCTGAGAAGCAGCTACTCGGCACCTGTTGAGCTTTTCAGATGTTGGAAAAAAGCGGAGTTGTTTTGTGTATCTTTGGTGGAGAAGAGTAGCAGACACTAAGATGATTATTGATTGCATGAAATTTTATTTGCCAGGATAATTGATGTGCTTGAAAATTACATTATGTCATATAATCCTCCATCAGTTAGTAATCAGTAAAAAAATCATCTGCCAGGTTATCATGCTTTAGATAGATGCTTCTAATTTTATTAGCTATAAAAAATTAAATCACTAGCTGTGGATCAAAGCTTCTTGAATTACTTTGCCGAATAGAAAAAGACATCAACATACTTTAAAATAGCACTGTCTGGAGTTGTTTTATTAAACAAAATCAATTTCTTTCTGTGGCACTAAGAATGGAAATTTTTAGGAGTTCCTAAATTTCCACAGCCCCTTTATGGATTACTGCCTTGTCGTGGCGAAGGGGCTTGCGTAACTCAATGAAGCTATAAGCTATGCCGTGCAGGGCCACCCAAGACGGACAGGTTATAGCAGAGAGTTCTGACAAAATGTGATCCACTGGAGAAGGAAATGGCAAACCACTCCAGTATCTTTGCCATGAAAACCCCATGGACAGTACTAAAAGGAAAAAAGATATGACGCTGGAAGATGAGCCCCTCAGGTCAGGTGTCCAATATGCTACTGGGGAAGAGCAGAGGGCTAGTACTAGTAGCGCCAGAAAGAATGAAGCGACTGGACCAAAGCCGAAAGGATGCTCAGCTGTGGATATATCTGGTGGTGAAAGGAAAATCCGATGCTGTAAAGATTTTTTCTCCATAGGAACCTGGAATGTAAGATCCATGAATCAAGGCAAGCTAGACGTAGTCAAAAAAGAGATGACAAGACTGAACATCGACATCTTAGGAATCAGCGAACTAAAATGGACAGGAATGGGTGAATTTAACTCAGATGACCATCAGGTATACTACTGTGGGCAAGAATCCCTCAGAAGAAATGGAGTAGCCTTCATAGTCAATAAAAGAATAGGAAAAGCAATACTGGGATACAATCCCCAAAATGACAGAATGATCTCAATTCGAATCCAAGGCAAACCATTCAATATCACAATAGTCCAAATCTATGCCCCAACCACTGGTGCTGAAGAGGATGAAATTGACCGGTTCTATGAAGCCCTACAGCACCTTATAGAATTAACACCAAAAAATGATGTCCTTATCATCATGGGGGATTGGAATGCTAAGGTAGGAAGCCAAAAGATAACCGGAATAACAGGCAAGTTTGGCCTTGGAGTACAAAATGAAGCAGGGCACAGGCTAATAGAATTTTGTCAAGAGAATACGATGGTCATAACAAACACTCTTTTCCAACAACCCAAGAGACGGCTCTACACATGGACATCACCAGACGGTCAACATAGAAATCAGATTGACTATGTGCTCTGCAGCCAAAGATGGAGAAGCTCTATACAGTCAGTAAAAACAAGACCAGGAGCTGACTGTGGCTCAGATCATGAGCTTCTCGTTGCAAAATTTAGGCTTAAATTGAAAAAAGTAGGGAAAAGCACTAGGCCACTCAGGTATGAACTAAATCATATTCCTGATGAATATACAGTAGAGGTGACAAATAGATTTAAGGAATTAGATCTGATAGACAGAGTGCCTGAAGAACTATGGATGGAAGTTCGCAACATTGTACAAGAGGTAGCAACTAAAACCATCCCAAAGAAAAAGAAATGCAAGAAAGCAAAATGGCTGTCTGAGGAAGCTTTGCAAATAGCTGAGGAAAGAAGGGAAGCAAAAGGCAAAGGAGAAAGAGAAAGATACACCCAATTGAATGCAGAATTCCAGAGAATAGCTAGAAGAGATAAGAATGCCTTCTTAAATGAACAGTGCAAAGAAATAGAAGAAAACAACAGAATAGGGAGGACCAGAGATCTCTTCAAGAAAATTGGAGATATGAAGGGAACGTTTCATGCAAAGATGGGCATGATAAAGGACCAAAATGGCAGAGACCTAACAGAGGCAGAAGAGATTAAGAAGAGATGGCAAAACTACACAGAAGAACTATACAAGAATGAGCTTAACATCCCAGATAACCACAATGAGATGGTCACTGACCTCGAACCAGACATCCTAGAATGTGAAGTGAAATGGGCCTTAGAAAATCTGAGCAACAACAAAGCTAGTGGAGGTGACAGTATTCCAGCTGAGCTATTCAAAATCTTAAAAGACGATGCAGTAAAAGTGCTACACTCAATTTGCCAGCAAATTTGGAAAACTCAACAGTGGCCACAGGATTGGAAAAGGTCAGTTTACATTCCAATTCCAAAGAAAGGCAATGCCAAAGAATGTTCAAACTATCGCACCATTGCACTCATTTCACATGCTAGTAAAGTTATGCTTAAAATCCTACAAGCTAGACTCCAGCAGTATGTGGATCGAGAACTACCAGAAGTACAGGCAGGATTTCGAAGAGGCAGAGGAACTAGAGATCAAATTGCCAACATACGCTGGATCATGGAGAAAGCTAGGGAGTTCCAGAAAAACATCTACTTCTGCTTCATTGACTATGCAAAAGCCTTTGATTGTGTGGATCACAACAAATTGTGGCAAGCTCTTAAAGAGATGGGAGTACCAGATCATCTCATTTGTCTCTTGAGAAACCTATATGCGGGTCAAGAAGCAACAGTGAGAACTGGAACACGGAACCACTGATTGGTTCAAAATTGGAAAAGGAGTCCGGCAAGGCTGTATACTGTCGCCCTGCCTATTTAACTTATATGCAGAGCACATCATGAGAAAGGCAGGGCTAGATGAATCAAAAGTTGGAATTAAGATTGCCGGGAGAAATATCAACAACCTAAGATATGCAGATGATACCACTCTAATGGCAGAAAGTGAAGAGGAACTAAAGAGCCTCTTGATGCGGGTGAAGAAGGAGAGTGCAAAAGTTGGCTTGAAACTCAACATTAAGAAAACCAAAATCATGGCATCCGGCCCTCTCAATTCCTGGCAAATAGATGGGGAAGAAATGGAGGTAGTGACAGATTTTATTTTTCTGGGCTCCAAGATCACCTCAGATGGGGACTGCAGCCAAGAAATTAAAAGACGCTTGCTCCTGGGGAGGAAAGCTATGGCAAATCTAGACAGCATTCTAAAAAGCAGAGACATCACCCTGCCAACAAAAGTGCGTATAGTCCAGGCCATGGTTTTCCCAGTTGCAATGTATGGCTGTGAAAGTTGGACCATAAGAAAGGCTGAGCGCAAAAGAATTGAGGCCTTTGAACTATGGTGCTGGAGAAGACTCCTGCGAGTCCCTTGGACTGCAAGGCGTTCAAACCAGTCAGTCCTAGAAGAGATCAACCCCGACTGCTCTTTTGAAGGCCAGATCCTGAAGTTGAAACTCAAGTACTTTGGCCACCTAATGAGAAGGAAGGATTCATTGGAGAAGAGCCTAATGCTGGGAAAGATTGAGGGCAATAGAAGAAGGGGACGACAGAGAATGAGATGGCTGGATGGAGTCACTGAAGCAGTAGGTGTGAATTTAAATGGACTCCAGAAGATGGTAGAGGACAGGAAGACCTGGAGGAACATTGTCCATGGGGTCGCAACGGGTCGGACACGACTTCGCAATTAACAACAACAACAAATTTCCACAGAGGTATAATAGTTGCACCATGAGATGTGCTCTTATTGGAATGCAAAGTGTACATTTATTGCACTTTTTAATCACTTAATAATAATATCTGCAGTAAAGAAAAATGCTTTGCTTTTCAGCTCATTAAATGTAGAGTAAGGATGCTTAACAATGTGTTCTCAAATCTTATCAGAATATACTGTATTTGTAGAGTATTCAAAGAGAGAGTGATGTTTGTTCACTGTGATCTTCTTGATTTGCATTCATACAGTCAATAATGTGCAAACTTGTTCCTGAAGCTCCTTAAGTACGGAAATAAAATCAAGGGCAAAGATTATTGGAATATAGCAAACTAAAGAAAGTCTAAACTGATTAGTCTTGAGAATAGGCTACGCTATGCTTCCACTCATTGCTCAACAAATTATAGGAGAAAGAATTATGATCTGTTTCAATCTATCTTCTAGATGCACTGAATACAACTGCTATAATTTCCACCTACTTATTTATAAAATCAATTTGAGAAAATGGTTTATTTAATTAATTAATATACTGCCAATCTCACTGTTGAAGTGACTCTGACAGATAAATTAATGAATACATATGAAGCAGTACAAGCCTTTATCAAGTATCTCAAAATCTAGCTGTTACAACAACACAGGAAAATCCATTTTGCATGCCTTACAATTCTATATATATATAAAGTATGGAGAAACAAGCCTTGAATAGTTGGGAATTAATTTTTTTGTACAATTTCTGCAATAGTTGGAGCTATGAAGCAAAGAGGGCAGGAGCCAGGATTTGTTTCATTTTGGGAGTTATTATTTGGTTGCTCATGTTTTTCCTGTTTCAAAATGGTGGTAGTAATTGTGAGATTGAAAGTGCAAAAATAAGTAAATAAATCTAGGGTAGAGTAACTGAACAAACCTTGCTATCAATTTCACTGCTTCCTAGAGCAGACTGAATCACATAAAGCAATGCATCAGTAAGTCCATCACATTCTCTCATTCTTCTCCGAGCTTCTTCTCCAGCAGAGCTGACATTCCTGGAAGCAAATAACAATGATGATTCTTTGCTCAATTTTATTTTTATTTTGTATAAATCTATTTTATAGCATAGGTCCCTTTGAAGCAATCTCATTCACCATACAGATAGCTTGAGAGTGTAACTTTCAGACTTCTAGATACTGCAGTCCCAAAACATTTGTAGTCTAATTTCTGAAATAGTTCAACATGATCTTTTTCAAAACTCTTTGAAATTCTAATAGTATTAGAACATTGTGAATCTGAGAAAACTTTAAAATTCACAAAGTAGCTTTAGGGAGGCAAGATGTCATTTCTGATTAAAAATCTTTATAATTCTTACATCTAAACTAATTCTTTTCTATAAAAAATAAAGTAATAAAATACATAAACATTATGGAAGCTACTATATATTTTCGCATTTTACAATAAAACAACTGTACCTTGATAGAAATAATGAGAAAAACATTGAGATAAAAATGGTTTTGCATTAAGAATTTCAAAACCCTTTAATTTGGTGTTATTTTCAGTTACCAAAAATGTATTGTTCTATATCAAAACATTATGAATAAAATTTAATCTGCAAGAAATTTTGGTTTCTTCATGATAGTATTGTCATCCTACAGTTTTCATCCTGATAACCATCTATTTACTATGCCAATTTCGAATCAGGAGCAAATGATTACATTCTATTCTCATTGTTGGAGAGGGTTTGTATGTTATCTATCTGGATGGCAGCATGGAAGATCTGCCACATCTTTCCTTCTTAAGCCATATCAATTGCCATAGAGAAAGTTGTAATGCAGTACTGGATGGTAAATGTAAAAAGGTTCAATTGGTTGAAAGACTTTGTCTCTGTGATTCCAGAGAGGCAGAAACTACAGAATGTGTCCTTCATTGCTCCCTTTATGGAGATATCCAAACCAGATTTATGCTTTCTCTGACTAGTAGATATCCTGATTGCCTAGATTTGGCTTATGCCCAGATGGCAACTTATAAATGAAGTACCCTTCATTATAGTGCATGTGGCTAGGTTTTGTACAATAACACATAACATTGATGGATCAATATCCTGTAATATATTCCTGTAACTGTAATTCATTTAAATTTTAGATATCACTACTTCACTGATATTAATAATTTTATTTTGTTGTAATGTTAGGTATTTAGTGTTTACATTTTAATTTAATATAGATTTATGTATTATAATTTAATATGGATTTTACATATTAGATGCTACTTAGGTTATTTTACAAATGTATTTTAACTGTCTTATTTTTTATTCATTTATTATCTATGCTGGCCTTTGACCATAATAAATTGAATAAAATTGAACTGAAGTGAGATACCTTCCAATATTAATTCCAGTTCATTATTTTAAATAACTTTATAGTCATTTTTTTTTTTGTTAAGGGCATTCTGTGGGACTTTCAATGAACAAGTTACAATTATTTAGAAAGATGGATTTAGCTATCCTAGAAGACTTATTACTGGACATACATTTTAGCTTCACCACTTCAGAATTCAACTGTACTATAGTAACTCAAGAGTTGTTATCTGATCCCACTGAAGTCACAGCAGGCATTAAGATGTCAGTTGGTATAGGGATCCATTTCTATTAATGCTGCAATATCTACACAGAAAATACTATCATATATATTATTTGGACAAATTTACCCATGAAAAGCTTAAAGCCATTTTAAAAATAGCATCCAAACCTGGGTTGTTTGGGTTTCTTGGGTAAATTGGGATTATTGTTATAGATGGCTCTATAATTCTTGGTTTCAAGTTGCCCAATCAACAGTATTGTGCTTTGTCTATCATTATGGGAACCCCTCCATTTTTCAAGACCCCAATCCTTAACAGCTCTTGATCTATGTCACAGTGACCATGTTGAGAACAGGAAATAGGACTGGCTAGTACATTCCCAAACCTACATGCTGTGTCTTCAAATAATATGAACAAATGGTGAAATAGATTCAGTTCTCAAGTATGAGTTTATTTGTAGCTTCCTGAGCAAGGACAAATGAACTTTACTTCCAGAGCAGATTTATTTTTCAGCAGTTCTCAGATGGTCACAAGCAAATAGCCTGATACCAGATCAGTCTACTATCAAAACAAGAAACTGTTGTTTCTTCCCCCTTGAGTCTTACTATATTTTCCAACATAAATTTAATCATATAACCCATATTCTAAGTTCTATTGTTTTATTTTGCAAACAAAAAGAAATAGATTTTCCCCTCATTCATAAGGCCTATTACTAAGTATGGAATCAATTCTCAGTAAGAATTCATCCCTTTAACAAAAATAAAACTACAACAGTATGTGATTGATACACAGTGACATATTTGATTTCATTCAAAATCAAATTCTAGTAATTGAAGTATCATATATGAATATGCTATATATCTGTGATATTATAAAATGGTAAATATTAGTAATTTCCTCCAAGATAATGTCTATCTTATCTTTATGGAGTCAGAAGTCATCAGAAAACTAATTCATTAAAATAGACTGATAAGTCATATTTCCTGGTGTATGCTTCTAAATATATTTCCAACATTCCTTTTTTAAACAAATCTGCTTTCCATTTTTCTATACTGGTTAATGAATAATTCAAATTTTAAAATAATTATGTACATAGTATTGGATAACCCTTTTTTTAAAAGAACATATTAATAATTTAAAGTTTGCATTTCTTAAAAGAGCAGTCTAAAACATTGTTTAATAATATTCTTCACCCATAGTATGAAAAAGTAACCTTTACTTGATTGAGCTCGTGCTTTATGTAAGATGTTTTATCATCCATTATTCTATACGTTTCTTCACTTTAAATTATTTTTAATATAATTAATTCTCTATTTTTAATTGTTACACTTTAAATATTCCAAAAATGAACAGAAATTAAATAGTTCAACACTTATTTTTACAATATGTATTTAAACAAAATCCACAGATTACACCTAACAAAACATTTTAGCAATGATGAAATTATCCATCGTTTGTATGCTTTCTGATTCTATGTTATCTTATTTAAAAAGTTTACTTAAATTTCTTGATAAATTTAATCCTTACTTAATCCGGATTGCCATCTATCATATCATTGCTATTTATTGAATCTTTGGAAGTCTTTAACCAGTTTAGGAATAAATAATATATTAATGTTGCTATTTTAAAAAAAATGTTTACAATGGAAACATATTTCAGTGTTACTTCCATCTTAAAACAGTTTAATGTTTTATATCCACAGGTAATCCCCCAGGTACAAGTGTTTATTTAGAAATCAAAACTGCGACCAAAAAGAGGCCTCTGTAGCCATGTGACTTGATTTCAGTCTCTACTGCAGTGATGGCCATTTTTATCTCTGTGACGTGTCTGGGCCAATCAGAAGGGTTCCCCCCCGGTCACATGGCCAAACAAGAGCCGAGCCGGCATCAATTTTTGCTTTTGCTGCAATCTGCTACTGCCTGGGCTCGAGTGCTACAATTACTTCTGTAAGTATTTTAAAATATTTTTTTGTTACTCTACAGTTTGCAAACACAATAGTTTGCAAAGTGCAGTACTTAAAAAGTACTGTTTGTTTGCAAGCAGTTTGGAAAGTGCTCTGCTTTTTAAGTACTGCACTTTGCCAACTATTGTGTTTGCAAACTATTGAGCTTTTATATTACTGTACTTTGTAGGTTTTAAATTTAATTTGCCTCCAGAAGTTGTGGGTGCCCCATCACTGGAAGCTTTTAAGAAGAGACCGGATAGGCATTTATCAGAAATACTCTCTTTTGAGAGCAGTGGGTTCAACTAGCTGACCTCCAGGTCCCTTCCATCTCTGTTACTATTGCAAGCTGAGAGCTCTGCACATCCCTCCCCCCTCTCCCTTTGGGTGCTTGGCTGGCTCTTAAGTAGTGGTTTTTATTAACGCAATGGTCCCTCCCTCCCTCTGGGCAGCTGAAAATGCTTGAGCTGGCTAGCAGGAGTTTTTTTTTTTTAAATAACTGATGGCTTGTAAGCCCTGCTTGGAGGCAATTTAGTTCCTGAGCCAGCTTACCGGAAACAGCTGATTGGCAGCTGGCGGGAAGTCCTCCCAGTTCAGTTTACATGGTAACTGTCGGAGGAAATAGTAAATCAGATCTTCATTCATTTAATAACCCATTTGATTTAATTAATGAATTTGATTTTAAAAAATTGTAAAATTAAGTCTAATTCATTTGATGAATTTTTTGACTTATGAGCCCAAAGGCCAGGCTCCATTAGGTTCGCACCTCGGGGACTACCTGTATTTTGTGGATTCTTGCAATGACAGTACTGGAATAGATGAGTTAAAAGATACATTTTCTGATATGTATACTGTAGGTAAGACTGCTAATGACTCAACTACTTGATTGCCCTCTTTCAACTAATATTGAATAATATAATGTTTCAAAATGTTAATACCTATGTCTACCATTTGCATGAGGGACAAAATTGCTCAAATGAATAATTTCTCTTCAAAATTGCGGATCAGGACTGAAGTGGGAGCAAAAGAGCAACCAACTCTTGTAGCTATACAGTATACCTGTTCCAAGTCCTGCAAATCCTAAAGTATATAATTAAAAGAATTAAATGTATACTAAAGCAAAATTGTTCAGTTATGGCCCTTAGGCAGATTTCCCACACAGATCATGGAAGTTTTGTAGAAAAGGCTGATGTCATCTTTTCATTGGTAGGAATATTCAGCATGCCATATTTGATTAAGTAAAAGCATGTCATTGAAATTTAAAATTTAAAAAAATATCATTTACATTTTAAGCTCAGGTTTTATAGTAATGGCCTATAATTCTTACAGATATGCCCTATAGACATACTGTCTATAGACTACTGCAAAAGAACCAAAATAATCATCTAAAATGACAACTAACCTAAAAATATCTAGCATGGTATTATTCAGAACATTGTTTATTTCAAAAGAAAAGCAATCATGTAAGATTGTTACAGGACAGAATTTTTACATGGTCTGTATTCATTTTTATGGTCTGCATATAGAGCCCAT